ATGTTGTGTTCTTATATGATACTACGGATGCTTTAATTGATGATTCTCGATATTGAGCGTAGAATTAAGTTTGTTCTCGTGGGAATTACTCGTGATGTGAACATTGGTGTTAAGCTGAGATGAATAGCCAAGCTAAAATGATCCGTCTTGATGATGAAGTGATTTGGCTGCAAATAGTGATGCCATTTATCCACAGCATGTAGCAATGCTATCAATTCCTTCTCATAAGTTGACAACCCAAGGTGTCTTTGACTTAAGGCTTGGCTGAGATAGGCGATTGGACGCCCATTTTGCATCAAAACTGCCCCGATTCCTTTGCCACTAGTGTCCACTTCTACCACAAATGGGATAGAGAAGTTTGGTAGTGCCAAAACTGGAGCTCGAACCATGGCTTGCTTGAGTTCTTCAAAAGCCTGTGTGGCTTCTAAGGTCCATACGAAGTTCTTTTTCTTAAGTAGATCAGACAAGGGTTTGCTAATAATAGCAAAAATTTTAATGAACCTACGGTAGTAACCTGTTAAGCCCAAGAATCCCCTCAACTCCTTGATCGATTTTGGTTGGGACCACTTCAACATGGCAGATATTTTACCCTCATCAGTACTTACCCCATGGCGTGAAATTATGTGGCCCAAATACTCAACTTTGGGTTGAGCAAATGTGCATTTTGATCTTTTTGCAAACAACTGACGACTTGCCAATAGTTCAAACACCACATGTAGGTGAGTGACATGGTCAGGAAGGTTGGCACTATAGACTAAGATGTCATCGAAGAAAACCAACACAAACTTCCTTAAGTATGGCCCAAAAATCTTGTGCATCAAGGCTTGGAAAGTTGCCGGAGCGTTGGTGAGTCCAAATGGCATAACTCTGAACTCCCACAGCCCATGGTGTGTCTTGAAGGCCGTATTAGGTTCATCTCCTTCCTTCATCCGAATTTGGTGGTAACCCGAACGAAGATCCAATTTAGAGAAAAAATGTGCTCCACAAAGTTCATCTAACAAGTCCTCTACCATTGGTATTGGATACTTGTTTTTAATTGTAATGTCATTTAATCGTCTATAGTCCACACATAACCTCCAACTAGCATCTTTTTTCTTAACTAGTAGAACTGGTGAAGCATAGGGAGAAACACTGGTTGTCACAGTTTGAGCTTGTAACATTTCTGAGATAATTTCCTCGATGGCATTCTTTTGTTCAAAAGAGTAGCGGTAGGGTCTCAAATTGACAGGTTTAGAGCCTGGCAGCAACTCTATGGCATGGTCACATTCCCGCTTGGGCGGAAGGCCCTTAGGTTCCTGGAATATTAAATCGAAATGGTCCAACAACTGTAGTTGACCAATATTCCACTTCATCCTTGATATCTGCCATTGTAATTTTTACATTTATTTCACTTCTCTCCATTGTTAGGTCAATTCCTTCCTCTATTGGTATTTTACCCACTACATTGCTCCATGTTTTACTAATTGAATTAATTGTTGTAGAAGAACCTCTCTGATTTTGATTATTCTCTTCCTCTTCTGCTCGATCTGCCCAGGATTTCCTACTCGCCTCTAAATCGCTATTCACTTGTGGTGTTGTTGGATTTGATAGAAAATTAATGTCCAGTGGTACAATTCCTTGTATTGAGTTAATACTCTTCACTTTTTTTGCATCCTCCATCTGTGGAACCCCCATGCGGACTGAATTTGAAGTCTGATTCCCATTGATTTGCTGACCTCCGCCTCTATTCCTTGATTTCCTCGCCATGTCAGTTTTCACTGAGAGAGAATCTTAGTCATAGAGAGAGAAAGTCTAGGGTTTTGAGGATTCATGGTCATATTTTTGTACCCAATGTGGATGGGCTTCGTGAGTTGATTCTTGAGGAGGCCCATGGTTTCTGATATTCTATTCATCCGGGTGCCATCAAGATGTATCAGGACTTGCGACAGCATTATTGGAGGATAAGGATAAAGAAAGATATAGTTGCGTATGTAGCTCGGTATCTGAATTGTCATCAAGTGAAGTACAAGCATCAGAGACCTGGTGGTTTGCTTCAAAAGTTACAGGTTCCTGAGTGGAAGTGGGAGCGTTTCACTATGAATTTTGTTGTTGGACTCCCACGTACTTAGATAAAGTTCAACGCGGTATGGGTCATTATGAACAGGCTAACCAAGTCAGCACATATCATTCCTATGACACTTACCTATTCTTCAGAGCGGTTGGCTGAGATCTACATCGGAGAGATCGTCCATCTTTACGGTGTGCCCGTTTCTATCATTTCTGATTGAGGTACACAGTTCACGTCGCACTTATAGATGGCAGTAGAGCATTAGTTGGGCACACATATAGAGTTGAGCACAGCATTTCATCCACAGATGGACAAACAGTCCGAGTGCACTATTAAGATGTGGAGAACATGCTTCGTGCTTGTGTTATGGATTCCGGGGGTTCTCGGGAGCAGTTCTTGCCACTTGCGGTGTTTGCCTACAACAACAGCTACCAGTCGAGCATTAAGATGGCTCTTTATGAGGCATTATATAAGAGGCAGTTCCGATCAACAATTAGGTTGTTCGAGCAGGGGGAGGCTCGGTTGTTGGGTAAAGATTTAGTACAAGATGCCTTATATAAGGTCAAGATTATTCAGGATTGACTTTGCACAAATCTGTCTAGGCAGAAGAGTTATACCGACCATAGAGTTCGTGATGTTAGATTCATGGTTGGAGAGAGATTTTTGCTTTGGGTTTCACCCATGAAGGGTGTGATGAGGTTCGGAAAGAAAGACAAGTTGAGCCCTGGGTATATTAGATCCTTTGAGATTCTTGAGAGAGTGGGTGAGGTGGCCTACAGGCACGCATTGCCACCTAGTTTATGAGCAGTCCATATGGTATGCCATGTATCTATGCTCCGTAAGTATCACGGTGATCCGTCTCATGTTCTAGATTTTAGCTCAGTCCAATTGGACAAAAAATTGACTTATGAGGAGGAGCTGGTGGCTATTCCAGCCCGACAATTTGGATAGTTGAGGTTAAAGAGTTATCCTTCAGCTCGTGTGCAGTGGAGAGGTCAGGCGATCGAGGCGGCCACTTGGGAGTGCGAGTTGGACATGCGGAGTACATACCCACACTTTTCACCAGACGAGGTACTTTTCTACGTCCGTTCAAGGACAAATGTTTGTTTTAGAGGTGGAGAATATGATGAACCAATAGGTCATCTAGAACTTTAACCCTTAATTAAGTGTTTCAAAACCTCGAATTGCTCCTTTTAGCCTACCTCTATTTTGCGTGCGCAGACCATGTCTTTTTCCGGAAGGCTTATATGTGACAATTTGATTTAAATGTGAATTCGTGCCTTAAAATTCTTTGAGTTTTCTTCAGCCAACTTTTTGACCAAATGGACCCAGATCCATTTTTCGACAGTCCCGGTGGGCCCGTATCATGATTTGTGACTTAGGCGTATGGCCAGAACTGAATTTGGAGGTCCCTAGCTCGAGTTATCACAAATTGTTGAAAACTTGAAGTTTCTTGGCCAAATCATTGAATGTTCTTTAGCTTGTGGTTGTGTGTAATGTTTATTCCATATTTGTGTGCAAAAATTTGTTTCGTGTATCTAAAAGTGTGATTTTACCGAAATTTTTTGGGTTTAAGGATTGCTCTATGGCTGGGGACGATGGGGTCGCAATTGCGATGGCCTCTTTGCATTTGCGAAAAGGTGGTCGCAATTGCGAAATCTATCAGCCCTGACTATCTTCGCAATTGCAAAGAACTCTTCGCATTTGCGAACCCTGTGAAATCATGTTGCCTTCGAAATTGCGAAGAAAATGTCGCAATTGCTATATAAAGAGCAGGCACCTGATAATTTGAAAATCCTGAATTTTTTTCTAAGGCTGGGTTTTGACAATCCAATCATTTCTTTGGCATATTTGACTTATTTTGCAATATATTGCATAGCCATACCATGTTTTCACTCCAATATTTTCTTTACAGGTATCATACGCTAATAAGCTCTAACACCGATGAATCTGCGCATGAAAATCCTTCGGAAACGGGGGAGAACTATGAACAACACCGGTTCTTGTCATTGGAATGCCGGGAACGGTACTATGCTGAGCTGATTTCGAAGAAAGTGCTACCGAAAAGTGGTATCGATCTGGATAACATTCCGGAATGTCTTCTCGAGTTCCATCAGAGGCTTGTAGACCTGTTTTTCCCTCAACCTTGCAGAGCCAATGAGCAATGGGTGAGGGAGTTTTAAGCGAATCTTCCAGCCATCAGGTTAGAGAAGTCAAAGATGAGGATTTGCGACAAAATGGTGCATTTTGGAGCTGAAGCTGTAAACCAAGTCTATCACCTACAAGACCATGACATGGCTCTGTTCCGTGCAAAAGATTGTGCCTCAGGGGAGTGGTTGGTCTCCAAATTACGTGTAGATGTTCCATGGGAAGCTGAAAAGAGAGGGATCACATCCAAAGAATTCGCTACTGAAGCAAAGATATGGCTGACCATCATATGTAGTCGCATCTCCCCGTATCAAATATATGGAATGTACCGGTAACGAGAGCTCAAATGATAACCTCCATTATTGATGGTATTCAGCTAAATGTTGGTGAGATTTTCATCAATGAACTAATGGAGTATCGGCTTCAGAATTGTACATCATTGATATTCTCATCGCTTACCACTGAGGTGTGCCAACTTACTGGAGTTTAGGAGGATCCGGGAGACAACTGAATAGAGTCGGGAAAGCCTATTCATCCGTTGAAGAAAAGATGAGAGCATGGCGCGGTCAAGAGCAAAAAGAGAAAGTTGGGATCTTCGTCTCAGATCGACCTGAGTTGCCAACCATAATCTTCTACAGGAGGACCCTTTGCTATGCTTTCCGAGGAAATGCGACTGATTCGCAACCTAGTAGTTCGCCTTCCACAGGGACCTGGGGAAATATCTGAGGGGCCCGCTGCATACATTTCAAAGAAATAATTTAAAAAAGTATCTTGATGACCAGTCAAGCAGGGGGTCACCTCAAGCAGCTGGAGAAGGCATATATTGATTTAGCCACGACACACGGTACTTTGAGCACTTCTCATGGCAATCTAGCAAAGGCACACACCAGGATAAAGAAAAGGGAGAAGTAAAGAGATACACTCTTCACTCGCATGTGGAAGGTGTGAAAGGGCATTGGAAAGTACTAAGGACTCAAGACTCAGTGCCATCGACCAAGCCGGAAGATGATGATGATGCTCCAGTTTATTGGTCCGAGGAAGAAGGAGAGGAGGATGCCACTGATTCCGACAATGAGGATAGCGCTTGACGCAATATTCAGGGAGCACTTTCCACCATTTTACTCTATTGTGTTTAGTTTCATTGGGGACATTGCAACATCTTTAGTTGGGGGTGTCTTCTTTTATAACTGTTCATCTTGTGTAATTGTGGATAACTGTGGATATGGTAGATTGGTATTTTGGTTTGTTTTCATGTGATGTTATTGTGTTTTCATGTGATGTGTTATATCAGTATGTTTACTAGCTTCTTGAATTTTTGTTTTTATGTATACTCTATTTTATTGACTTGATGTTTATTCGCTTCTTAATTTTTTTTGTAGTATGTTCTATTTTGGTGGCGATATCCTTGGTTTTCTTTGTACCACGGTTCTTTTTTCGAGGTTGCTAATTTTCTTTTTGAACCGGGTAATTGTTAGCAAATTTTTGTTGACTTTTCCCAGTGATGGATTGCTTGGCGACTTTCTTAAGGGAATTAGTCTTGTAGTTTATATATAGTTTTTGTTAATTTAGGAAGAATAAGTGGTTTGAGTTGGGGTTTGAACCCATTAGCCAATTTGTGGCTTGCTTGGTACCAACGTGATTCAAACCTCGACATATGAATGTTTAATCCTTGAAAAAGAAAAACGATTGAAGTAAAGATCATTGTCATGACATTTAGACTCAATTTTCGGCTCTTTGATTCACTAAATAGCTTCTTATGCAATATGTAACTTCTTTGAGTCATTGGTTTCAATTAGATTTTGGACTTGTATTCCACTTGAATGTTAATGTGCCATGTGTGGTGAGATTTATTGTGAGTTCTTTTGCATCATTTGTAGTCTAGAACTTTCCCGTAATGTGCTTCAAGGCGAAATTATAGACTAACTTTGTTTGAAAAATAATATTAGGCCTTCCTTGGACTGCTATTGTGCCTTAAATTTTCTACCCTTGCATATTTTCCCGGGTCAACCCATTTTGAGCCTTTAACCTTTTTCTTTGGCAACCATTTGACAAGCTTTAACCCTTCGTTCTTAATTGACTTATCCTTTGGCACGTACCTCCCTAAGTACTTTGAAATTATAACATAGGCTAAAAGGCTATGTTTGGGGTGAAGGAGGGAAAGTTATGATGTGGAAGTTTTTAAAAAGGTGAAAGGTAATTAAAAAAAAGAGAAAAATAGTAATATTTGAAGGAAAAATAAGGAATTGTGAATAAATGGAAGACTAGATGACATAAAAAATAAAAATAAAAGTAAAAATAAAAATAAAAATTAAAACGAAGAAAGGGTGAAAAGGTTCTTGAAGGAAGTGTGCTTTGATTGTGAATAATATTGTAGTGCATAGGGAGGTTTTGAGTCACTCTAACCAAAATTGTGTCCTACCTTTACCAAAAGCTAAAACTATAACCCTTTTAGTCCTAATTGATTTTGAACCAAGTTTGTCTACATTAGTGGAGAAATACATGAAGGGCAAGCCTATGGTACTACTTGTGTGCATTTGAACATCTTCGTGAGAGAGAGTTAATTCTTTCCATTTGTTATCCCATTTATGTTTTGAATTGAAATTTATGACCGTGAGATTCTATCTCAAGTGTGAGGCCACATGAGATTTGAGTTGTGAATTTAATCCAATTTTCAATTGGAAGGAATGAACAAAGGAAGATAATTGTGATAGAGAGGCAAATTTTGAAGATTTCGTCTCCTGACTTGATTACTACTTTGATTTACATAGTGTTTGAGCACCTGAATGGTAATGAAATTCATGAGGAGTTTTTGGTATTTCATATGCTTTGGATTAATTGTTGGTACCAATCGAAGTCATGTGTGTCATGCGGTACACCTTTTTGACTTGGCAAGATATTGATGCACTATTGAGTTAAATACTTGGACGGAGATTTTGTCACTTTCATTGCTTGAGGACAAGCAACAATTTATGTTTGGGGGTTTGATAAGTCGGTATTTTACCAACTTATCATGTCTTTAAGCTTAGATTTTTGCTATGTTTGAGTGATAAAATCATGTGTTTAATATCGTTTACTTTTATATTACAGGTTCTATGTGATTTAGAAGTGATCTTGAAGAAACCAAGTGAAAACGAGTCAGAATAAAGCTAAAAAGAAGAAAATCTAAAGAATGGCCTCCGATTTTGCAATTGCGACAAATCTGTGGGAAATGCAATGAAGAAAGAGCTCGCAAATGCGAGAAAAGGCTACACAAATGCGAAGCCAAGCCAGTCAAGCAATGTTCGCAAATGCGAAGAAAGACTTCGCAAATGCGAAGTCAAACCAGGCAGTCAACCATCGCAAATGCGAAGTCTTAATCGCAAATGCAAAGGTCAACAGGAAAGTCAATGTTCGCAAATACGAAATTTGGTTCGCAAATTCGAAGATCGCGCTTCAGCTCTGGGTACTTCTGTAATTTTGCATTTTTTGGCCCCAAACCATTTAATACCTACTTACCTCATTTGTAAAGGATCTTTGGCTTAATTTCCAGTCCTTAGACTAGAGAGAACAAGTTTTGGAGCTAGGGTTCTTGCACACACACTTGGGTCTTGAAGATTTGAAGCTTTTGGTTGAGAATTTCGTACTCATTTATGCTCATTTCTTCATTCCCTTGCTTTGTATTGTATATCTAAGTGTGTAATATTTATTTCAACACTTGAATCTTGTTTATGAAAATATTCATGTTTAAAATGTGGTTTAAATATCTTGTTGTGCTTATATATTGAATGGTTTTTATCTTTCATGAGGTGAGTTACCGTTTCTTTAATGTTTCCAATGAGATTAGCTAACCCTAGGACTCGCCCATCATCTTCGAATTAATTTTGGAAAAGATTATTTGGGGTTGGGAAAGATTAGTTGACAAGAACTTGAGGCTTTAACCCTCATTCTATGGATTCTACCTAGGGATAGGATTGAGCTACTTGTAACCACAATCGCGTGTGCTTAATCTCTTAATTGATTAGGGATAATTGAATTAGGAAGTCTTGTTAGTCTTTGGAAGAAGCTAATATAGAATTATTACCCGAGGCTAATTAACATGAACTCACTCATATTTGTTAAATCGTGAAATACATTGGATCGTTACTTGAGTGTAATTCCCCATGTATCCACACTTGTAGCCATTGATCATTTTACTTGCTTTCTAGGTTAGTTTACATTTTCGTATTTAGCTATAATATTTTCACAATCACGCTTCTAAGTGTTTGGCATTGCATAACAAGTGATAATTCTCTTACATTCCTAAACGCCTACATATTGTTCTCTGTGGAATTCCACCCCGACTCATAGTTGGGTAAATTATATTGCATGTGATCGTGTCCATTTACTTTTTAGTAGTGGACTTGGACGTCATCACACGACTAGTTGGATTTTGGGTCGTTACATGACTACACCTCCCTAAGAACTTTAATGCATACAATTTCATATTTTAGACCCCACACTTGTATTGAACCAAACCCTAACCTTCATACATAATAGCATCAAGCTCTCAATATCTTTAAGCAAAAACAAGATGAGAACTACCACTAGCATGGAATTCATTTTTTCTTTTCTAGGGTTTTTTTTTCTTTTTAAGAACACTCACACTTTTTTTCTTTTCAATTCCCTACAAGTGGCTCTCATAATATTTTTAAATATTGCACCTTTCTCCATTCTCAACAGTTCCACTCAAAAACCTGACCATACCTCAACTTAGATTTTAACCAGCTCATAACACATTTAAATGCTCGAGAGAGGTAAAAGGTTCAAATAGATAGTCAATTCAAATAATAATGGGTTAGGCTTGTAGTGTGGTTACCCAAAAAAAGGATTACAGGCTCAATGAGGCTAACTACGATACACATTAATTATGTGGGTAAAAGCATATAATTAGCTCAACAAAGAAATGCCCCTATCACTCCCTAGACTGAACAAGACTACTATTTCGCTTTACAAACAAACAGGGCAAGTTCTAGACATCAACTGTCATGCATAGAATATCATAACAGCCTCACACACA